CGCATGTACTCGCCAGAGACAGACAGAGAGGGAGAGACCCAGAAAATGAGACACCCCCACCCCCACCCCAGGGGGATGGCCACGTCCAGTCGCTTCTTTCCCATTCTCCTTCTGGGATTCTGGGGCATGCACACATGCCCAGCGTGTTTTTCAAGTTGGTATGTCCAGGACTTGAACCGTGCAGTTAGCCATGTAGGACCCAGCACCTTAACCTCCATGCCACTTGGCTGGCCCTGGATCTAACTGTTCTAAGTAGGGCAAAGGGCCTCTTTTGAAGAACTAAATGGGTTTTCGAGGGTCATTTAACAGAACTGTAGTCCATTCCCTGACAACCCTTTGTTGCCACCAGGCTGGTTTCTCATGAAGTTACACACCATGACAAGCTGCTCACTTGATCTGGCCCAATTCCCCAGTGGTTCGAGACCCCCAGACATACAGGCAGAATGCAGTGTGCAGTGCCCAGGGCAGAGGGGTGGTGGAGCTCAGCAGCTTGGCCAAGAGCCTCCGTGCCTCCCGGAAGCTGCCTCCTTGCAGGCAGCTGAGTCCTTCCACCTGGAGGGCTGTACACAAGCCATGTTCTCAGCGGCCCTTCTCCACAGCACGGGGCTCGGCAGGGCTGGAATCTGCATTTGTGTCAGTCTGTGGTAGGGACCAGAGCCCATGTTTTGAAATACCCTGCCTGGGGCACCCACCTCACCCCAGCTCTGCCACCAGGGCCTGCAAGGGCCAGCGGGGGCCTGCGGGGCCAGAGCCTCCCGCTCGCCCTCCAGGTCTCAGCAGGGGCGACAAGTTTTTCTCCAGCAGGAGGGTTTAAACAACAGTCTGATTGGGATATAACCTACATTCCATATACTCCACCCACTTAAAGTGGTTTTAGCATTCTCAGAGTTGGACAACCATCTCTACAATCAACTGTAGAACATTTCCACGGCCCCCACCCCCGAAGAAAGACACCCTCACCCATTAGCAGTCACTCGCCAATGCCTCCTCCCCAACCCCCTGCCACAGATAAACGTACCACCAGTGACGGGGAGAAAAGCATATGAAGTTCATTTAAAATGTGCGCACAGGCCCAGCCTGGCGGCTGCCGATCCACAGGGCTGGAAGCCACGCAGCCGGTTGCGGGTTAGAATCACGAGTCAACCTGAAGCATGCTGGGGGCCTGCGTACCCAAGATCCTGCCCAGCGGGGAGGCTGGGGAAAGGCGGCCACTGCTAACTAGATCCTGTCAGGGTGACCTCTGTCTTGTGGGCGTGTGTACACATTCTCATGTTCATGAAAAACATAAAATTAAAAAAAAATGTGCATGGGCATATACAGGGATTCAGCCAGTGAGACTCAAAGAAGGGCCACATGACTGAAGGTTTTCTACCACCCAGAACAGGACAGAGGCTGGCCCTGTAGCCCAGTGATTAAGGGAACTGGCTCCCACACAGTTTGAACCCTGACCTTGGTATCTTGAAAAACACCGAGACACATGTGTGTGCCTACCCCCAATCCTGATGGGACGGGGAAATGGAGGAGAGAGGGTCGTGACCTGACCATTCCCCACGGGGGACAGGGGACTTCCTCTTTTTCCTTTCCCTGGTGAGCACCCGTACCCTCGGGACCTCATCTCGCGGGGCTCTGCTGAAACACCTTTAGTCCCGTTCTCTGGAAGACAGCCAGCATTCTGCGGCTGCTTCAGGGCCCCGCAAGCCCCACCTGGGGCACCCCCCCACCCCCGAAGAAAGACACCCTCACCCATTAGCAGTCACTCGCCAATGCCTCCTCCCCAACCCCCTGCCACAGATAAACGTACCACCAGTGACGGGGAGAAAAGCATATGAAGTTCATTTAAAATGTGCGCACAGGCCCAGCCTGGCGGCTGCCGATCCACAGGGCTGGAAGCCACGCAGCCGGTTGCGGGTTAGAATCACGAGTCAACCTGAAGCATGCTGGGGGCCTGCGTACCCAAGATCCTGCCCAGCGGGGAGGCTGGGGAAAGGCGGCCACTGCTAACTAGATCCTGTCAGGGTGACCTCTGTCTTGTGGGCGTGTGTACACATTCTCATGTTCATGAAAAACATAAAATTAAAAAAAAAATGTGCATGGGCATATACAGGGATTCAGCCAGTGAGACTCAAAGAAGGGCCACATGACTGAAGGTTTTCTACCACCCAGAACAGGACAGAGGCTGGCCCTGTAGCCCAGTGATTAAGGGAACTGGCTCCCACACAGTTTGAACCCTGACCTTGGTATCTTGAAAAACACCGAGACACATGTGTGTGCCTACCCCCAATCCTGATGGGACGGGGAAATGGAGGAGAGAGGGTCGTGACCTGACCATTCCCCACGGGGGACAGGGGACTTCCTCTTTTTCCTTTCCCTGGTGAGCACCCGTACCCTCGGGACCTCATCTCGCGGGGCTCTGCTGAAACACCTTTAGTCCCGTTCTCTGGAAGACAGCCAGCATTCTGCGGCTGCTTCAGGTCCCTGCAAGCCCCACTTGGGACACCGTCAGCAAATGGGGCCCTTTGTCCTTCCAGCCTCCGGCTTTACTCCTGCCTTCCTTGGCCCGAGAGGCCTCCACTCTCACCCTCTCACCTGTCGAGATGTATTTTGTAAACCTTGCTCTCTGTCCTTGCCCAGCCCCCAGAGGCCCAGGCAAGTCTGTTCTGCTCACTGCTGCATCGTCGTGACTAGAGAAAGACACACATGTGCACGCATGTGCTCACACGCGTGACGTCTCGGCCAGTAGCCGAGACCTCTCAGTTGCTGGTGTCCACCCCTCGAACCCAGTCTCCCTTGTTTCTGTCTCATCTGTTCAGTCCCCAGCACCTCGCTGAGGTGCTGGGAACTGAAACCAGGTGGTGGCCTCAGGGCCTTTGAAGGGTTCCCTCTGCCTGGAATGTTCTCACACACTGGAACGGCTACTCCTTCCAACCGTCCAGATCTCAGATCTCAGCGACCGTGTCTCGGCCTGCTCTGCCTCCCCAGGCGCAGCTGTCTCGGCGTCTGCTCCCAGTCTCCGCCCGCAGCAGGTCATCCATCGTCGGGGGCTTTGTCCCACCTCTGGCCACCAGATCACAACATCGAGAGTGAGGACGGATGGTGTCCTGCCCACGGCTACAAGCTCAGCACTTAGCACGGAGGTGCTCGGGAAAATAATGCATAGAGCACATGAATCGTATCTTTCTCTCTTTACAAGGGTATTAACATGGGTTAGCGGGTGGGTTTCAAAGGCAGAGAATCCCCTGAAGCTGTAGACAAACTACAGTCCCGGGAAGGCATTTTCCTGGAGACAGGGTCCCTGATATCCGTCAGATTCTCAGTGTTGCCCACAACTGAGAACCGTCATTATTTAACCTATCACCTTCTGGGACCATCAGGCGGTATGACAGTTAAAGGGCTGGACTGGTACATGACCAACTGCAGTTCAAGTCCCAGACCTGGTGACTTGCTTTCTGTCTGTCTGTCTCTCTCTGTATCTTTCTGGTGAGTTGATGCAAATATAGCAAATTTAAAAATAAATAAAATTAAATGAATAATTCTTTAAAAAGAAAATCACCTCTAGTCGCTTTTCTACGCTGTTTTCACTTCCTTCTCTTGTTATTAAACGCGGGCCAGGCCTTCCTTGCTGGTTAGGGACAGGAAGGTCAAGGGGAAGTCTTGACCCTGACCATCTGGGTTTCAGGGTCCCAGTGTACGGTCGTTAACGCTGCCCACTGGAGGGAGTCAGACCCCACTTCAGCTGCTTTGGACGGGCGACCCAGGCTGGTGGCTTCTGCTCTCTGAGCCAACTCCCTGGTGTGCAGACACTGTCCTGGGGCCCTGAGGAGTGTGAGCAGGTGCTCTGCAGCTTGCATAGCCACTGCAGAGCCATTCTTGTCCTGAGCCACCCCACGAACAAATCAGCATGCCTGGGCAGCGGGGCTCCCCCCACGGGGTGTTTCACAAGCTCCCGGGGCACAGGAATGACGCTCCACCTTCTACTATAGCATGGAGGGCCTTGGAGAGGCTGTGTCAAGTGCAAGGAGCCAGACACCAAACACACACCTTGCGTGACCCCATTACGGAGACGTCCAGGACGAGCAGGTCTGTGGGGACGGAGCAGGTTAAGGTGCCTGCTTTTCTCCCATTACTCTCTAAATTTCACAGATTAGAGACCTGCCCCTGAGAAGGGAGAAAATCAAACCTGCCCCTACCATCCATAACTGGGGCTTGGGGCTGGTGACCACGGGCAGGGTGAGCGGGCACAGGTGTCCTGGCAGCGCCAAGTGCCAGTGCTCACCAGTGCCTTGCTCTGCCAGCATGGGGTGCACAGTGGTTAGCCAGCCCCTGGAGCACTGGGTGGAAAGCAGGGAGTGACCACCTGCCAGCCTGGGGGGCAGCTGCCCAGCCGCATCCTGGCCTGGCTTCCCAGGCTGTGGATCTTAGAGAAATGGGCTTTCAGGAAGAAGCATCTAGAGAGAAGGTGTGGCTTCCTTTGTACCAGGTTCCTCCAGAGAGGAGAGCTCCCTCAGTTGGCTCTCACCTGGGCTACTTTAATGCCCTTAACCATAGCTGGACCCCGTGTAAAATGGGGGTCTTGGAGCCAGCAGATGGAGTGGGGGTTAAGTTGCTCGACTCCCACAGGGTTGACCATGGTTCTAGTTCTGGACCTGGTGGCTTGAAAGTCATGGTGGTTGTGTGCGCATGCATGCCCAAAATCTCAGGAGGAGAAGGGAGAAGAGGGACTATGGTGTGGCCATCTCCCCAGGGTGGTGATTTCTCACTTTCCCTCTCGCCGTCTCTCTCCAGAGATCACACACACACCCTATGGCAAAAACCTTTAAAAAAATGAGGGGGCCAGTAGGTGGCATGGTGGTTGAGTGCTGGATTTCCACATGATGACTGTAGTTCGAGTCCTGGACCTGGTGGCTTCCTTTCTCATTTTTTTTTCTCTCTCTGGTGAGTGCACATGCCCTGTAGCAAACTTAAATAATAATAAAATTAAATGATTTTTTTAAAAATGGGGCTTTGATGAGGGACTTTGGGGATAAGAAGGCCCGTCTGGGCCAGCTCCGTGGTGCTGTGGTAGCACACTGCTCGAGAAGTGAGTCCCACATGGAAACTGTGGTTCGAGTCCTCGACTCCGTCAGCCTGAACACACGGGCATGAGCGAGAAGTGAATCCCACATGGAAACTGTGGTTCGAGTCCTCGACTCCATCAGCCTGAACACATGGGCATGAGCGAGAGTGCCCAAGATCTGACAGGCCAGAGGGCCGGAGGAAGGGATCGTGGCATGACCAGACCCAGTGGTGCTCTCTCACTCAGGTGCACGAGCGTTACCACAGTAAAGACAAAGAAGAAAGCAAGTTGAGCACTGCCTGGTGGTGGTCCTCGGTTGGCCTCAGGACGCTGGCCTCATTGTTGTCAGGCTGGGGACAATGACAGTGATGCTGCTCTTATCAGTGACCGCCTCGGGGCTTCTCCTGGAGAGACGTGAGAAGAGCTCGACATGACTGCCTTCTCCAAAGGACACACCGGTGACATTTCCTAGAGAGCGGCCTGCAGGTCGAGCCCGGGACTGGGCACTGCGATTTAGCAGGAGCCGGGCGGTATGGTCTCACAGACGCAACGCGACAGCTACGGGTAGTTCTCAGAGCACGTCTGCTGGCGTCCCGGTGTCCTGCTTCGAGCCGCGAAGCTGCCACTGCCCGCACACGCTCACACTTGTCGCCAGGCGCTATGAGGGAGGCAAGAGCACTGAGAGGTCAAGTTCTTCCTTCCTCCGCCCCGGCCTCCAGGGAGGAACGAGGCCAACACCGGCTGTGTGTCCTGACGCACTCGCCTCTCCTCAGACAGACATGCGGGCGCAGTTCCCGTTTCTTTCTTTTGGTTTTATACACACACACACACACACACACACACACACACATTTTAGGCTTTTTCAATTTTTTCTTTGCCTTTTTAGCATGCTTGAGTTTATAAAGGGCAAATTACGTATTTTAATGTTCTTCACTTAACATAATAGTACAAGCCTTTCTACCACTCCATTTTAAAAAATATATTTTAAAGAGGGACCAGCAGTTAGCGTAATGGCTATGTCGCTGGACTCCCATGTAGTCAACCACGGTTTGAGTCCTGGACCTAGTGGCTTAAACTCATGCCAGGCGCTTGTGCATGCGTGCCCAAGACTCTTGGCACACTGCCAAATATATACACCCAGAGAAGTTATGCTGAGGTTCGTCCTCACTGGCCAGTAGGAGCCCATTGCTTTGTTTTTAATGAATTTTTTTAACTTCAAGGAAAAAAACGTTTTAGTTTTAATAGATCAAAGTCAAAAAATGTTAAGAGAAATTTGTTTAAGACTTGAAGTCAGGAAAAAGGCTAGGATCAATTCAAACAGTAGTAGGTGAACCTTTCAACAGTTCAAGAAAAGACAAAGATCCTAAAATCTGAACAACAAAGCATAGAAGAGAATCAGTCAAGTTTTAGTTAAAAGTCATATATTTTAACTAGAGAAAAAAATGAGAGCTTGTGACCATTCTTGTTTTCTGCATTCTTTCCTTGACGCCGCCCCCACCCACAGTACTCTGAGCAGACAGGCTGCAACCCTGTCCACTGTTACGCCGGAGAAGGAGAGGCTTTGGAGCCCTTCTGCGGGTGGGAAACTGAGGCCCCAGTGTGGCAAGAGTGCAGACAGTGGGGCCGCTCAGGAGGCCTTCGCAACCACAGAGTGGCTGGGGGGGCCCTTTTTTTTTTTTTTTTTTTTTTGGTAATTTGAAAGGAGTGTTTTATCTTCACGATCTTACTTTAAAATGATAATTTTTATAACAACAGCTAGTGATACTTATTTCTATGATTTAAAAAAATAGTCTACAGTTGATAATGGGACAAAATTTGTAATTTAGCTCACAGAAATAGGATTTGGAAAAACATTCACAATTTTAGACCCCCCCCCACCCTTTAATTTTGTATATTGCGTTTAAAATGTCATCAGGTCGATTCTGATATTTGTTTAGTCATTCACTGTCCATCAATACAGTGTACAAAATGAGATTTTCTGTCCAGTATACATTGTAATACTAGCTCATCAAGGATATTACCATACATGCTTATCACCAACAAATAGTTTTCTATTTCTTGTTTCTTATATATTTTGCTTTTTTCCTCCCCCCCACCTTGATTCCCTACCTCTCACCCTCTGCCAAATCCCTCCCTTCTCCCACACTGGCTCTGGTATGTACAGTTGTTTTAAAAATATGGACTGCTTCAGGAATTTGCGTGTCATCCTTGCGCAGGGGCCACGCTAACCTTCTCTGCACCGTTCCCATTTTAGGGTACGTGCTGCCGGAGCCAGCACACGGGTGGCTGTGGCTGAGCTGTGCCCGCTGTGTGGCAGTCCAGGCACAGCAGCTGCCCCAGAGGGCCAGTGCTGGGAGCAGGCCTTATGCCTGCCCTCCCCATGCAGGCCTGCGGGGGCAGCAGCGTCAGTTCTCTGCTTTCTCAGGTGGGGGACAGCAGCACCGGCCCGCTAGACCGCAGACCAGGCAGGGAAAGTGCAAATGAACCCGGATGGGGCGGAGTTTCTCTTTCCAGTCAAGCAAGTGTCTTATCGTACTCTGTTTATGGGGGAAGGGAAGGTCACTGGTGTGTGTGTGTGTGTGTGCGCACGCACACGCGCACTATTTTTCTTTTCTAATTTTTTAAAATTAATTTTTTAAAAACTGCCAGAAGGCTTGTGCACTTGTCAGAGAGAGACAGAGACAAACAGACAGAGGGAAATTGCAGAAGCAACCCTTACGGAGGATGGTCACGGTCCCTTCTCCATTCTCCTCTGGAGTTTTGGACATGCACGCACATGCACCCAGCATGTTTCTCAAGCTGCCAAGTCTGGGACTCGAACCTGGTAGCCAGCTGTGTGGGATTCAGACACTTTAACCACTGTGCCACTAGCTAGCCCCGTTTTTTGTTTTCTTGGGGAATAACATTTACATAAAAAAGGTATCCGCTTTCAGGTCTGGCTTGAGGATTATTTTATCCACTTGTACTCACCTCTCAAATCAGGACCAAGGACACGCCCAGCCCCTGGAAGGGTGCCTCGAGCCCCTCTCTAGCCCACAAGTTCTGCTCACCTGCTGGCAGCGGTAACCACTGAGCTGCTATGGGTTTTTTTGTTGTTGTTTTTTGCCAGAGGGCATGTGTGCTCCCTAGAGAGAGACAGAGACATTGAGAGGGAAAGTGAGAAATCACACCCTGGGGTGGGATGGTCATGCCACAATCCCTTCTCCTTCACCTTCTCCTGGGTTTGGGCACACACGCACATGCGCTTGGCATGTTTTTTCAAGCCACTGGGTCCAGGACTTGAACCGTCATTGACCATGTGGGAGCCCCAAATCTTAAGCACCACACCACCTTCTGGCCGCTCAGCTGTGTTCTCGAACCGCACATAAAACACTATGTGCCCCTTCCTGTCACATGTGTGAGCCATGCACCATGTGGCGTGTGGCAACGGTCTGCTCCATGCACTGCCAAGCAGCATCCAAGGCACGGACATGGCTCGGTCTGCGAATCCGCCCTCCTGTCCAGAGACCCGGGCGGCTCCAGCTGGGATGAGGAGGAACCGCGCTGCCGTGACCGTGCACCTGCCTACTCCTTCTGGGTAAGTGCAGAGTGGGGTAGGATCACAGGCAGGCTTCCGTCTGAGCTCACAGCAATTCCGGGACTGGCGTGGCTGCCTGGAGGGCCCTGCCCCACAACAGAGCAGACCTGCGAACCCACCACGAGCCACAGCAAATACATTCTGTTGGTGTTCAGATACTTTCTTCAGAGACTTTTCTAACATTGCCTCTTGACATGAGCTGGCCCACAGTGATTCTTTGCCCTGAGGTCCTGCAGAAGCTTCTCAGCAATTGTGTTCGACCGAACCCCCAGAACGTTTTTCACTGGGAGTGAGATTTTTGTGAATGATATATTTAATACCCAGTGAATGGCCTTCCCTTCCTTCCTCATTGGCTTGTGAACTCCTATTCATCCCTCAAAGCCACACTCCAAGGCCCACCTCCCTGAAGCCCTCTAGTTAAGGAAACTACAGCCCTCCCTGTCCCCCCTCCGCGTCTAGAGACTGATGTCTTTCCCCCAGAGGGGAGCACTGGGCACTGTTACAGTGGGTACATTTGAGGAGACTGTGTCGGGCACGCAGGGCCCGCCTCATAAACCCCTGCATGCCCAGCCCCTACTGGACGCTTGGAATGCGTGTGCTGACCTGCTCTTCCTGGACGTCTGTATACCAGGGGCCCTTGGCCAGCACTGCAGGTGACAGGCAGGCAGAAGAGCCAATCAGTGGGTGGGTGAGGGGGCCGCGGCTCTCTTCCTCTTCTCTCGACCCGCCCCAACGTAAGCAGGTCCCTGCATGCTTCCTTTTGTGACCCTGGCTTTTTCCTTCTGGCCTCTAACACAACTGGTGACTCATTCTCCATGTTATCCGTGTGGCTTTCTTCCCTTGGCCACCCCTACTGGCAGGCACCCCTGAGAGTGTCCAGGTCCCTGCTGTGTCACCAGCAGTGGCACAGTGTCCAGGCCACTGCTAACACCTGCTGAGTGAGTTGAAGACCCAGGCCTGGCCCCTGCGAGCTTCTGGCCTCCCACCCAGTCTCCTCCACAGAGGCGAGCCCAAGTCTCCTTCCCCATCCCCTTCCAGGTCCTAAAGATGGGAAATTGCGGGTCGCCCCTCTAAGCACCCAGGCCACAATGGGAACCTAGCCCGGCCCAGGGCCAGCAGTGGGGACGAAGCAGGCACTCCACTCAGCTGGGCATGGGAGCAGCCAGCCTGGCTACCGTGAGCATGGTGCACAGGGGCCTGTGGCGGGCAAGACTTCGGCCTTCTGAGGCTGCCCCTCCTCCTCACCTGGACTCATCTGCCCTGAGTGGGTTTTTCCAGGTTTTCTTTTTTTTTTTTTGCTATAGGGAGGGTGCGCTCCCCCGACAGAA